CTTATATAAGGCAATTTTAATTAAATCTAGAATATACTCTATTAAGATAAAGTACTCTAGGATTTTATAGATAATAAAATTATTAAGGTTATACTTTAAGCAAAGCTTATAAGTACTAATTAATTAGTTCTTAAGTATAAATATAGTTAGAGGAATTAAAAGAGAAGTTTATACTAAGAAGTATAGATATAATCTATCTATCTTAAGAGTAAGAGTAATAATAAGTAGTATAGAGTAGACTATCTAGCTTAAAGGTTAAGTTAAGAAGTAATATTAAAGATTAATACTTAGGTTAAATATAAACTATAAAGGTTATATTCCTATATACTATATACTAAAGAGTATCCTATATATTCTATATATTCTTATAGTTTCCTATAGAGGGCCTTATAAGAACTATAGAATATTTATAGAAAGTATAGAATATATTCTATACTTATTTTATAGTCTTAGTATAGGGCCTACTATAGAATATATTATATAATTACTTAGTCTAGCGTTACTAATCTATTGCATTCTATTAGCTATAAGCCTTTAGCCCTATATATATTCTTTAAGATTATAATAAAGGCGTCTTACTATATAGCTTTTTAAACTTATTAAGTACTATAGCTAAATTAGGTAGCTATATACCTATAGCTTTAAATAACTTAAGTATAAGGCTTATAGTATATATATTAAGCTAAGCTTTATAGAAGAGACTATAAAAGTTACTTTTCTTAATACTAAGTAAGCTCTAGCTATTATAAAGGTAATAAGTAATAGCTTTAGTATAGTTATTACTAAAAGATAAGAAGTATACTATATTAAGTAGCTATAATATTTAAGTACTATATAAAGAAAATATAAGTAGTAGAATCTTATAGTATTATATAATTAAGCATATTGCTCTAGTTATATAGCTTAGTTATAGAATTACTAATTAAGCTAGTAGCTCTATTATTAGGAGCTTAGAAGCTCTAGGCGCTAAGAGGCTAATATAGAGCTACTTAGACTAAGGGAGGAGCTTGCTTTAGTAAGGTTATATAACCTATACTATTTTCCTTTATATTTAAGATAAGTATTATCTTATAGTATATAGAACTAGTAGTCTATATAATAGATTACCTAAATATAAGCTTACTTACTTAATAATAGTTATAAGCCTAGCTTCTATAAGAAAATAGTAATCTCTCTATATACTTAAGCTAAGCTTATTAGCTTATATTTAGCTGCTCTAATTTTTTCTTATTCTTCTCTATACTAATAAGATATAAGTAATTCCTCTTTACTAGGTATATAAGCTCTATATACTATAAATAAGCTTATTATTATAACTAGGTAGAAATGCTTAAATACCTAATAGAGCCTATTAGCTTAAGTTATAAAGTAATTAGCCTAATTAGTATATATAACTAACTTAGCATATATACTTTAAAAATATTTAAGAGCTTATTAACCTAGACGCTTAGAACGCTCTAAGTATATAAGAAGGAGCTTCCTAGCTCCCTTCTATGCGCATAATTACCTCTAGACCTCTACTAAGTACTATATAGTACTTAGTAAGCTTAACTTTACTCTTATTAAATAGCGCTATAAGTAGTAGGCTAACTTGCTTAGCGTCTACTGCGCTAATAGGATAAAATAAGCTACTTAGTAGTATAGCAGAAGATCTACCTATATTAGTACTAGCTACTCTATCTAATATAAGGGCGCGTAAAGAATACTAAATCGTAGTAAAATAGGTTTAGCATTAGGGTTTTCGCTTAATTAAGAAGCATATTTTAGTAGTCCCTTATGTAACCCTAATACCCCCGAATCGCAATTAATTTTTACTTAGATTAAAAAATATCTTATATAAACTCGATTTCTATATACTTTATATAGCGATACTAAGCGTTTAGTCTATAACTTTAGTAAAATATAGTACTATTTTAGTAAGTAGGGTTAAAGTTTCTATATAATAGAGCTTATATAGAATAGCTAAGTAATAGCACTCTAATAGGTAAATATTATAAGTAGTAATACTATAAAGTTCTGCAAGTAGCTGTAGTAGCTTGCGCTTAGCAACTATAATAGTATATTTAGCTTTCTTAAAGACTTTAGTATTATTATTTATAAGTAGTACTATATAGTAGTAGTAAGTCTAGATGCGCATCTCTATAAATACTATACTGCATCTGCTGCGCTATAGCAATAAATACTTAAGTACTTTAGTTAATTTAAGACTATTACTCTAAGCATAATTAAGCTTCTAGATAAGCCTGCGTAGCTACTAGATAAGCTTAGAGAGCCGCTTAATAGTGCGTAGTATAAGATATATAGCTAGATTACTATTAATAAAGATAAGATGCGCAGGTATTATAAGAAAAAATACTAGCAAGCTTAGGTAGAAGAGAAAAGCTTACTCTATAATATAGTAATAGTATAGAGCTTCTTTTATACTAGGGGGCTATAAAAATATTTTATTATTAAGGCTAGTGCTATTAATAATAGGCAAAATTTAGACCTAAATTAGGTTATTAAAGAATAACTTAATATATAGCGCTAGGTATAAAATTAGCTTAAAGAAGATATATAGGTTATAGGCAACGCTGCAAAGACTAACAAAACTAGCTAGTTTAAGTAAATAGGGTAGTTAGAGTTCTTAAAAGGCTAGAATCTTATTTATCTAGCCTATCCAATATGAGGTGACGAGAGAGGCCCTATCCAATATGAGGTGACGAGAGAGGCCCTATCCAATATGAGGTGACGAGAGAGGCCCTATCCAATATGAGGTGACGAGAGAGGCCCTATCCAATATGAGGTGACGAGAGAGGCCCTTCTCGCAGCAAAATTAGCTTAATATCGCTTAGCGTTAGGGTTTCGCACTAAAATTAAGGAGGCGACTCGTCAAACTTCATGTACCCAACTCATCAGAAACAAAGCACTGCACAGCAATTTCGCTCATACAAAGTCGTCTTGTACGCGTCTGAATATTGCGCCGGTATTGTTGTTTTTAACAAATTACAGATCTACTGATACAGCAGGGTTAGGGTTAACTTGGGGTTAACTTAGGGCTCACGATGGAGCTAGTGTGGGACAGCCATCTGTTAACACTGCAAGAGCGAGTTAACACAACAAGCAGCAGCGCACAACGCCGTAAAAGAGGCTTGCAAGTATCGCTTGACAATTGCGATAAGATTCTTTGCTTTTTGCAAGAGTTTGGTGTCTTAGTATGCAGGGAGCATTACACTGCTGTTGTTAATCTTAACACGCATCTCTTGCAGCATCATAGTGTGCCTGCTGCAACTTGAAAACAAGTTGTTGAACGCTTCAATTAATTCGCGCTAGTTGATGCAGCAGACGTTAAGCTTCCAGATGAGCCGGCGCGACTGATAGAAGAGCTTGGGAAACCGCTAGACGGGCTGCAGTGCAAGACATGCAGCTTCATCACTATCAACAAGGACACAATGCGCATGCACTGTAAGAAAGATCACCAGCAAGCTTGGCTAGGAGAAAGAGGCGCGCTCTATCACACTGTTAAAGTACAGAGCTTTTTCCGCACAGGGGGTTTACAGCGATACTTTGTTGTTGATTCAGCGGTAGCTGAAAATGCTCTAAACGACAACGTCAAGGTTGCAGTTTAGAGGCAGCTTGCTGAGTATAAACTGACACAACAAGAAGTTGAGGAAGAGCTGCAAACGCTAGAAGAGGCCGCGAAAACAGACAAGACAGGCTGGTTCAAGCGGACAGGCTGGTTGGCGTTCTTCAAGGATCGAAATCTTGTTCATCTGGCCCATCAAGCCCGGGCTCCCGATCGGAGCGAACACAAGCTCAAGCTAGCTGCTCAGCTGGCAGAGGGACTGATTAAGAGAAGCGTTAAGGGATTGGCTACGCTTCCGCAAGAACTCAGGCGCTGGCTGCGGAGCGCAAAGCAGAGCGAGATCGACGTGCGGCCGTTGGGGCGACTGCAGAACCCAGAGAGTCAGGCTGTGTACGCAAGCTATATAGTGAGGTTTGTCTGCTTCTATCTACGCGTGCTAGGAGATGAAGAGCAGCAGATTATGCGTTTCCGACAGCAGCGCGACACAGCTGCTCGATCTGAAAGCAGTGCGGCGTTGAGCAGCGACGAAGACAGCGAAGACGAAGCGGAAGGCAGTGAGGCTGACGACAACAGCCTGCGGCCCTGGCGCAGGACACGCAGTTAACAGGCACCAGACATGATGAAGGACACGCGCGAGCTCTTCACGTGGACAGCTGAGCAGAAGTTGTATGCGATCAGGCTGTGGGACGCGCTAGATGGCGACGACAGAGGCGCTCAGACGGAGGCGCTTCTTGCGTCTATCAGCTTGTTCATCTTCACGACGTATCATCCTGTGGCGTTGTCTACTGGTTTGATTCAGTTTCTTGCAGTGCTTGGGATTGATGTAGACACGGGCCGCTTGCGGACTGCAAAGAACTACTCGTACATGCTGGCGGGGATGGTGTACTGCGTGCGGGTGCTCGCTCTAGAGAAGCTGCTCCCAGGAGGGCAGCGCGACACGCAGACAGAAGAAGACCGCGACAGTTTTCTGGCAACGCGGCACAAGCAGCTAGCAGACGGCACGTTCAGCCCGATGAGCGAGATGATCAGCATGCTGGCGTACGGCAAACACATTGGACTTACAGCCGGCAACTCAGGCAACGCTTACTGGTCAGAGGACAAGCAGACGTTCTATCTGAACGGCCGACTGATCGTCATCCGCCGCTTCTGCAAGATGGCGCAGGACTTGTTGGCTGAAACAGAGCAGATGCTGTGGGAGCTTTGCTGGGTGGACGGCGAGGAAGAGCGGGTTACCGTTGATTTGAAGCAGGTAGTTGACGACGTCACGTTCACAAAACGACGCACGTCGTTTGTCGACGCTCCAGGCAACAAACTGCAAGGCGGGCTACCCGATATAAGGGCGCGTGGAGGACACCAAATCGCAGCGAAACAGGTTTAGCGTTAGGGTTTTCGCTTAATCAAGAAGCACATTTTGGTGGTCCCTCGCGCAACCCTAACACCCCTGAATCGCGATCAATTTTTACTTGGATCAAAAAACGTCTCATACAAACTCGATTTCTACGTACTTTGCGCAGCAACGCTAAGCGTTTGGTCTGTAACTTTAGTAAAACGCAGTGCTGTTTTGGTAAGTAGGGTTAGGGTTTCTGCACAATGGAGCTTGTGTGGGACAGCCGAGCAACAGCACCCTAACAGGCAAACATTATAAGCAGCAACACTGCGAACTCCCGCAAGTGGCTGCAGCAGCTTGCGCTCAGCAACTGCGACAGCGTATTTAGCTTTCTTGAAGACTTTAGTGTTATTGTTTGCAAGCAGCACTGCACAGCAGTAGTGAGTCTGGATGCGCATCTCTGTAAACACCATGCTGCATCTGCTGCGCTACGGCGACAAATACTTGAGCGCTTCAGTCAATTTAAGACTGTCGCTCTAAGCGCAATTGAGCTCCTGGACGAGCCCGCGCAGCCGCTGGACGAGCTTGGAGAGCCGCTTGATGGTGCGCAGTGCAAGACGTGCAGCTGGATTACTGTTAACAAAGATGAGATGCGCAGGCATTGCAAGAAAAAACACCAGCAAGCTTGGGTAGGAGAGAAAAGCTTGCTCTATGATATAGTAATAGTGCAGAGCTTCTTTTGCACTGGGGGGCTGCAAAAATATTTTATTGTTAAGGCTGGTGCTGTTGAAAATAGGCAAAATTCAGACCTAAATCAGGTGGTTGAAGAACAACTTAATGCATGGCGCCAGGTGCGAAATCAGCTTGAAGAAGATATACAGGTTATGGGCAACGCTGCAAAGACTGATAAAACCGGCTGGTTCAAGCGAACAGGGTGGTTGGAGTTCTTAAAAGGCCGGAATCTTGTTTATCTAGCCCATCAAGCCCGCTTACCTGACCGCAACGAGGTGAAATTGCAGGCAGCTGCTCAGCTAACAGAGCAGCTGATTGAGAAGTGCGTCAGAGGCTTAGCAACGCTTCCACAGGAAACCCGGCGATGGCTTCGTAGTGCGCGGCAGACAGATATCGATTAACAACTGCTGGCGCGACTGCAGAACCCTGAGAGTCAGGCGACGTACGCTGGCTATATGGTCTGATTCGTCTGCTTCTATCTTCGCATCATCGCAGATGAAGAGCGCCAGATGGACAAGTATCTATCGCAGAGAGATCAGGCTATTCACAGCAGCGAGGAGTTAAGCGGCGATGGTGCTGGCACAGAGAGCGAGTACAACGACAGCAACGACGACAACAATGCTGATAGCGACGGCAATGATAGTGTTGTGCTAGAGCGCTGACCGCGTTAAAAAGCGCTGACAGACATAATGAAGGATGCGCGTGAAGTGTTTAGCTGGAAGGAGGATTAGAAGGCGCTGGCGATTTGGCTGTGGATTGCTCTTGATAACGGTGACCGAGCAGCTCAAATCACTGTTCTGCTGGACTTGCTGAGTTTGTTCATACTTACGAGCTATGGCAATGAGGTGTTGTTAGCTGGATTGGTGCAGTTTCTTGCTGTGCTAGGCATAGACACCAAGACAAAACGCTTGCGCACTGCAAAGAACTACTTGTATATGCTAGCAGGGATGGTGTATTGCATCTGGGTGGTTGGAGTTGAGAAGCTTCTTCCCGCAGCAGGGCGCGATGAGCAGATAGAAGAAGCGCGGGACAGGTTCTTGGAAATGCGCAAGAAGTATCTGGCCAACGGCTCGTATAGTCCGACGAGTGAGATGATCAGTCTTCTAGCATATAGCAAACACGCTGCGCTGAACAAAGGCAATGCTGGCAACGCGTACTGGTCACTGGACAAGAAGATCTTCTATCTCAACGGGCGGCCTATCCAATATGAGGTGACGAGAGAGGCCCTATCCAATATGAGGTGACGAGAGAGGCCCTTCTCGCAGCAAAATTAGCTTAATATCGCTTAGCGTTAGGGTTTCGCACTAAAATTAAGGAGGCGACTCGTCAAACTTCATGTACCCAACTCATCAGAAACAAAGCACTGCACAGCAATTTCGCTCATACAAAGTCGTCTTGTACGCGTCTGAATATTGCGCCGGTATTGTTGTTTTCAACAAATTACAGATCTACTGATACAGCAGGGTTAGGGTTAACTTGGGGTTAACTTAGGGCTCACGATGGAGCTAGTGTGGGACAGCCGTCTGTCAACACCGCAAGAGCGAGTTAACACAACAAGCAGCAGCGCACAACGCCGTAAAAGAGGCTTGCAAGTATCGCTTGACAATTGCGATAAGATTCTTTGCTTTTTGCAAGAGTTTGGTGTTTTAGTATGCAGGGAGCATTACACTGCTGTTGTTAATCTTAACACGCATCTCTTGCAGCATCACAGTGTGCCCGCTGCAACTCGAAAACAAGTTGTTGAACGCTTCAATCAATTCGCGCTAGTTGATGCAGCAGACGTTGAGCTTCCAGATGAGCCGGCGCGACCGATAGAAGAGCTTGGGAAACCGCTAGACGGGCTGCAGTGCAAGACATGCAGCTTTATCACTATCAACAAGGACACAATGCGCATGCACTGTAAGAAAGATCACCAGCAAGCTTGGCTAGGAGAAAGAGGCGCGCTCTATCACACTGTCAAAGTACAGAGCTTTTTCCGCACAGGGGGTTTACAGCGATACTTTGTTGTTGATTCAGCGGTAGCCGAAAATGCTCTAAACGACAACGTCGAGGTTGCAGTTCAGAGGCAGCTTGCTGAGTATAAACTGACACAACAAGGAGTCGAGGAAGAGCTGCAAACGCTAGAAGAGGCCGCGAAAACAGACAAGACAGGCTGGTTCAAGCGGACAGGCTGGTTGGCGTTCTTCAAGGATCGAAATCTTGTTCATCTGGCCCATCAAGCCCGGGCTCCCGATCGGAGCGAACACAAGCTCAAGCGAGCTGCTCAGCTGGCAGAGGGACTGATTGAGAGAAGCGTTAAGGGATTGGCTACGCTTCCGCAAGAACTCAGGCGCTGGCTGCGGAGCGCAAAGCAGAGCGAGATCGACGTGCGGCCGTTGGGGCGACTGCAGAACCCAGAGAGTCAGGCTGTGTACGCAAGCTATATAGTGAGGTTTGTCTGCTTCTATCTACGCGTGCTAGGAGATGAAGAGCAGCGGATTATGCGTTTCCGACAGCAGCGCGACACAGCTGCTCGATCCGAAAGCAGTGCGGCGTTGAGCAGCGACGAAGACAGCGAAGACGAAGCGGAAGGCAGTGAGGCTGACGACGACAGCCCGCGGCCCCGGCGCAGGACACGCAGTCAACAGGCACCAGACATGATGAAGGACACGCGCGAGCTCTTCACGTGGACAGCTGAGCAGAAGTTGTATGCGATCAGGCTGTGGGACGCGCTAGATGGCGACGACAGAGGCGCTCAGACGGAGGCGCTTCTTGCGTCTATCAGCTCGTTCATCTTCACGACGTATCATCCCGTGGCGTTGTCTACTGGTTTGATTCAGTTTCTCGCAGTGCTTGGGATTGATGTAGACACGGGCCGCTTGCGGACCGCAAAGAACTACTCGTACATGCTGGCGGGGATGGTGTACTGCGTGCGGGTGCTCGCTCTGGAGAAGCTGCTCCCAGGAGGGCAGCGCGACACGCAGACAGAAGAAGACCGCGACAGTTTTCTGGCAACGCGGCACAAGCAGCTAGCAGACGGCACGTTCAGCCCGATGAGCGAGATGATCAGCATGCTGGCGTACGGCAAACACATTGGACTCACGGCCGGCAACTCAGGCAACGCTTACTGGTCAGAGGACAAGCAGACGTTCTATCTGAACGGCCGACCGATCGTCATCCGCCGCTTCTGCAAGATGGCGCAGGACTTGTTGGCTGAAACAGAGCAGATGCTGTGGGAGCTTTGCTGGGTGGACGGCGAGGAAGAGCGGGTTACCGTTGATTTGAAGCAGGTAGTCGACGACGTCACGTTCACAAAACGACGCACGTCGTTTGTCGACGCTCCAGGCAACAAACTGCAAGGCGGGCTGGCTTGGATGCTTAGGAGAGCGATGACTACAGCGGGCGGGCTGCGATTAACGCGTGCGGACGGGCAGTGGAGCGTCAAGGCGGTGCGGCAGTACATGCGACAGATGGATCGCTTCTTGGAACTGCTGCTCTGCAGCGTGCACGTCACGTCAGGGCAGCCGGGGAGGGGATCGGAGATCACGACGATTCGGCACCGCAACGGCGTACTGCAGGACCGCAACATCTTCGTCGTGGACGGGCAGGTGATGACAGTGGTCCGCTATCACAAGTCGCAGTCGCAGTGGGACAAGCCGAAGATCGTGCCGCGCTTCTTGCCGCCGCAGCTGGGGCAGGTGATGGCGGTGTACTTGGTCTACGTACAGCCGTTCCGCGAGTATCTGACGCTGCAGGTGCTGGGCGGTAGCTACAGCGACTACGTGTGGCACGACGCGCAGGGCGCGTGGGACACCAGCCGGCTCACGAGGGTGCTGAAGCGCGAGACAGGGAAGAGGCTGGGCGTGGTGCTGCACACGCTCGACTACCGGCACACGGCAGTAGGTATCGGGCGAGTCAAGGTGGGAGAGTCGTTCAGCAGGGGCTATCAGGACGACGTTGGCGAGACAGAAGAGGCGGAAGTGGACGATGATGGCGAAGACGTTCTTGAGCTGCAGAACTCACGCACAACCGCAATGGGGGTAGGCAACTACAGCGTGCCGATGGATATCGTGAAGCATCTCAGCGTGCGGTCCGTTGATGCGTTCCGGCCGCTTAGCGCAGCATGGCACCGCTTCTTAGGGGTGGATGGGAGCGCAGCGAAGCCCGTAGAGCCGAGCAGGACGACAAAGCGACGGATGAGCAACAGCACGTCGTCGGCGCTTGTTGGGCTGCCGAAAGAGAAAGAAGTGCGGTTTGCAGACCCGCGAGCCGACGCGATACACAGGGGGCTGCAGCAGGTGCTAGGCAAGCAAGATGTTGGCTTTCGATCGGTGGAGCAGGAGCAGGCTTTGCACGCGGTGCTGGAGAAGCAGACGCCGCTCATCGTCGTGCTTCCGACGGGCGGAGGCAAGAGCTTGCTGTTCACGCTGCCGGCTTGCGTGGAGGAGCCGGGGGGTAACGGTGGTCGTTGTGCCGTACCGGGCGCTGATTGAAGATCTAGTCAGGAGGATTCAGCAGTGCGGCGTCGAGTGCATGGAGTGGAAGCACGGCGAGAACAACCCGGCATCTGTGGTGGTGGTCAGTGCAGACGTAGCTGGCGACATAACAAGCACTGGCAACTTTCTTGGCTACGCGCGGATGCTGAAAGGAAAGGGGCTGCTGCATAGGGTGGTGATTGACGAGTGTCATCTGGTGTTCACGGCGAGGAATTGGCGAGAGAAGCTGCTGGCGATGAAGAACTTGCGGCTGCTGGGTAGTCCGATGGTGATGCTGACAGCAACGCTGCCGCCGCTGCAGGAGGGAGAGTTTGAGGCGAGCATGCTTGTGCGTCACGCAACGTACATAAGGGCAAGCACGGTGCGGCCGAACGCGCGGTACTTTGTGTCATGGTGTCAGCGCAACAAGCTTGAGGAGACAGCGCTGTTCATGTGCAAGCGGTGGGCAGAGAAGCTGCGGCGGAGTAGACAGAAGGGGGTGGTGTACTGCAAGAGCAAGGTGCAGTGCGAGCGACTCGCGACGGAGCTGGGCTGCGGACACTATCACGCAGGGGTGGTAGATCGCGCAGACCGGCTACAGGAGTGGGTGGAGGGGGGCGGAATGATGGTGGCGACGTCGGCGCTGGGGACGGGAGTGGACTTTGCTGGCATCGTGTACATCTTGCACGTAGGCACACCGTGGAGCATGAGCGACTTTGCTCAGGCAAGCGGACGCGGGGGACGAGGAGGAGAGCAATACGATGTGGTGGTGCTGGTGGGGCACGGGGAGGTGGAGCAGGTGATGGAGCGAGAGAGAGAGAAGATGGACGTGCTCGCGATGGGGCAGTTTCTGATCGGCAGCGGGTGTCGACGAGAGCTGATGAGCTCGTATCTGGACGAGCGGGGGCAGAGCTGCGGGCAGATTGGGGCAGCGGGGTGCGATCGATGCGGAGAGGGAGAGGAGGTATGGATAGAGGAGCAGGAAAAGTGGTCGCAGGAGTGGGGGGTGGTGGAGGAGGCGTTTGGGGAGCTGCGAGAGGGGTGCGCGATATGCTGGGTGGTAGGGCAGCAGTTCAAGACGGCGAGGGAAGAGCAGTGGAGAGATCACAAGGCGATGCAGTGCACGGCATGGAGTAGAGGAACAGGGATGCAGGCAGATCAGTTTCGGGTGAAGATGCGGGACCGCACGGTGAGGAACAACTGTCGACGGTGCTGGGTGAGTCAGAAGTACTGCGCGACGGGGGAAGGGATGGACAAGCGGTGTCAGTGGCCGAACGTGGTGGTGCCGCTGGCGTTTGCATCGCGGTTGACAAGGGGTGGGATCCGGGCGATGGGAGAGCTGGGGTTTGCAGAGACGGGAGACGAGGCGTACGCTGGGTGGCTGGGAAAGCCGCACAGGTCGGAGATTTGGGGACAGATGTTTAGCAACGCAATGGCGATGGCGATTAGGCTAGTGTTGGAGGGGTGGGGACGAGAGGGAGAGGAAGAGGAGGGTAGCAGAGTAGAGTAGCAAGCAGGGGAATGGATGAAGCAATGGGTGTATATGCGCAGCAAAGCCGTGATAAGGTATTGGCAAGAGAGTAACAGGGGGGTGGGTGGTGGGCCCGTCCGGGGCAGAAGAAGGGGGGGTGGGTGGTGGGCCCGTCAGGTGTCACA